TTTTTTTTTTTACGCACTTCACATTTTCTCCAACTAATTTCAAAGGTGTCTCTCAAGCTTTCAAAATCAAATGGGATTCTTCTAATGGTACCCTGCAAATGTGATCCTGAGAATCTGGGTCTAAGTTACAGCTCTAGAATGCAGTCTCATTTGTTTGCATTTAAAGGAAGTAAAGAATTATTGGTGAATCACACACACACACACACACACACACACACACCCTGCAATTTAGTGGCTCTGTAAATCTGAGTTTCCCTATGCTAAATTTATCTGAGTGAGGGTTCAGAGTTTAAACGCAATGCACAAAGGAAAAACCACTTGTTTGCATTAGAAACAAGCATGATTTCCAGTCCCAGGAGAATCGCAGCTCTTCTGAGAAAAAACGGTGGGGAGCTCAACACACTTCACACACAGCTTGTGTCCACACTTCACGTTCCGTGAACACGAGGAAACAAAGAACCCGAGATTCCTGCCCCAAAGTGCTTAACTTGTCAAAGGAGAAAACTCAAGATGGGAAGTTAATCCACAAACACGAATTCATTTTTACCAACAGGATAATTCTACAAAAGCGTTTTCCTCTCAGAAACTCCCTCTCCCCGGCTCCCCTCTCAGCTTCAGCAGTTCATTCACGAGACAAAAGCTAACATCCGTCACCAGGGAAGTCCTGTTTTCTCATTGGGGAAAAACTTACTTGTGAGGTTAAGGAAAGCAATGTAATCCACACCTTCAAACAGCAACACTTAACAGAGGAAAACTAACTGCATCAATATGAAAAGAAAAAGCCTTTGAGTGTCAGAGCCTTAGTGCTCTACTGTATTTTAATATCCATAGACACGAAACTAAATCACAAGCATGTGGGTTTTCTTCCTCTCTCCACATTAGATTGTTTAAAAAATGAAGTTAATATTTCCCAAACAACTCAAACATGAAAATAAATGATGCAAAAGCTGCTTCTAGTAGCACATTTTTCTTTGGAAGGAAAAAAAAAACTGAACAGAATTTAAGAGCATTACATAAAAAATCCTGGAAATTATGCACAGACTATCCTGGAGCTTTGCCAAAAAAGGCTATGCTGGTTTTTCATGTGCATAAATGATTATCAAGTAAGAATTATCAGGAGCTACAGTATTATTAAAGAGGAATGCACTTCGTGAAATCTCCATTTTAAAAAGCTTAAAAATAATTGCCTAAACTAAGGCATTGAATTCCATGTTTTCTGAGCCCTAAACAAGCACTCGGTGTGCACTATTCTGGGTCCCTGCCCTCCCAAAAGGTCTCACTGTGGCACCCAGGAGCCCCCTGCCCGGGTGTCCAGGGCCCCATCTCATGCCCAGAGGCTCTCTCCACTGCTGCCTTCTCTGTGTCCTTTCAGGATCCTACCTGTCACCTCTAATGACCTGCTCAATCACCCCTTTCCCCGACAAAGTAGTTGCTGCCTTTCCTCTACATTCCAGTCTGTTCTGTGCAGATATTTGGAGTGTGGTTTTGCACTTGACAGAGTATCCACATGTGCAGTGTGAGCTGTCGTAACATTCACTCACTCATTCATTCCACAGTCATCCCCTGCCATCCCAGGATGACCGGGTGGCTTCCTAAGAACACCAAAATGCAGAGACCCAAATGGTGTGCAAACTGTGCAGTATTTGCATGTGACCATGCATATCCTCCCATATGCTTTATAAACTCCAGGTTACTTACGGTACCTAATAATAATGTAAATAGCTGCTATATTGTATTGTTTAGGGAATAATGGCAAGAAAAGAGTCTGCACACGATCAGTGCAGATGCAATTTTTTTCTGATTATTTCCAACCCAAGTTGGTTGAATCCATGGGGGCAGAACCCATTAGATATGGAACCCACAGACATGGAGGGCCAATTGTATGACTGAGCGTCTATTTTATGTCAGGTGCCAAGCTGGATTCTCAGTGCTAGGAAAACAGCAGGGAATAAAACACGTGAAAATTCCCATTCTCCAGACCTACTGCAATGAGAAAGATCACAAACAAAATAATAAGTCCAATACACACAGCGTCAGATGGAAGGGGAATGGCTGGACTGACACTGTAGAAGCTGCTCGCAGCAGGGCTCCTAGGAGGGGAATTTCTGGGGCTGGGCCTCACGGAACCTTCCACGGCCATCCTGAGGATAGGGCTTCTCTACTGCTCCGTCTGCAAACCGGCAATCGACATGCTGATTTAGGATTTATTTCCTTCTCTTGCTTTCTTTATCGCTATTTACCCACACTCATGGGCACCTGTCCCTCAACAGGCATTTGTGGGAAGATACTGTAGAAAGAGACAGTGCACTGCTCTGTGATTGTCAGTTCTAAGAATGCAAATTAGAGCTTCAGAGAACATGGTGACGTGGGCACTGTTTCTTCTGTGGCATTATTTATTCTTATAAACATGCATATACTATTAATTTTCTTTTCAAGACAGAAGCGGGTAAACTTTAGTTCAGTCTCTCTGAAGAAACACATCAGACAAACATAATGAACAAGATTTTAATACCCATAATTTCCCAACTCCTTAAAAGTATTACTAAATGGGTATGAAAGCTATCAGAGACCGCTGGGGTTGTAAGAAAAGGATTTAGGGCCAACATGAAAGGGCTCCCATGGGTCCATGATGCAAAAATTTCTGCACCAAAGACAATGATATCTATAAGGAAAGAAGTGCATCACATAAGACAAACTCCAGGAGTTTACACTGATAATTGAAAAAAAGCCACTGGTCAGCTTTGGAGGGTGTGAAGAAGCCAACTCAGTCTGAAAACTGATACATATAGAAAGAAGCAACCCCACAGAACATAAGTCTCTGCGATCAAAGCTCCTGTGACCCCAAGATTTCATCGTGACTGAGGTGACAACGGGCATGAGCGCACTTGGTGCACTGGGAAGAGCAAAAGAAAGGTGGGGTGGTTCTGGCTGTTGCTGCCCCTGGGAGAACCGTCCCCGCTTTCAGCGACAGCAGCTAATATTATAGAAGCATTTCCTCATTTAATCCCAACAACTCTGTAAGGTGGGTACTAGTGTTTTCTAACACAGTCCTTTGGGTTTCAATACCGGTTCCACTACTTAGCAGCTCTTTCTGGCTGTGTGACCACTGGCAGCTTCTTAAGCTCTTTGTGCTTCAGTAACCTCACCTATAAAATATGAGATAGTAAGAGTCCCTAGCTCCCAGCCCTGTTTCTAACACACTCAGTGAATCTACTGTGTATTTGTTTAGATGTTTATTTGATTTGCGTCTGCTTTCTGTTCTAAGCCGTGCACTCCAAGAAGGCAAGGCCACCACCCTTATCTCCAGAACCCAGTCCAAGCCTCACAATTTATAGGAACTCACTCGATACTTACTGAATAAATGGGTTTGCGGTAGACACAGCAGAGCTGAACAGCCTCTCTAGTTCAAACCTCTGCCTATATCTTCAGAGACACAAAGTGAAAGATCTTCTCATAATTCCTCAACTATCAAGGGCCACATCATCTTAAGTACCTCAAAGCTCTGGGGACCTGAGTAGCCCGAGAACAACGCTGCCAGCACTCCCCAGGGTTTCCAGCACAGAAACTGCCAAACTTGCCAGCTACAGTTTAACCAGGGCAAGCTATCAGTGTTTTGTGTTTGGACACTTGCCCTTTTTAACTGAAGAAACTGACACAATCGCAGTCCCCAGAGTGTTCTGGGTTTCGGTAGGAAATTATACAAGATGTGGACCAAACAGAGTGTAGAAAAAAGAAAGAAACAGCCTTTAGTGCAGTACAAGATGTGACTCACACGCGTGGGAGAGCTAGCTCCTACTGCTGCCATCCAGTCACTGTGTTAGCTAGGAAGTGTTCTGCTTGACTTTTCTCATTAGATTCTCCCAACACCACTATGCCAGAGGTTCTGCCATTCCAGGGAACTGCAGAGCCCTCGGGTAGTTTGTCCAAGGTCCCACAGCTCAGAAGCTGCAGAACTGAGAAATGAATCCAAGTGTATCTACAGGTCCAGCATCTGATGCAGTGAGTTAAGCCACCACTTAAGATGCATGAGCACCTGTTCATGTCCCAGCTCCACTTCCAATCCAGCTTCTTGCTAATCCACCAGAGAAGATGGCCCAAGTACTTGGGCTCCTTATACCCACATGGAGACCCAGATGGAGTTCCAGGCTCCTGGCTTCAGCCTGGCCCAGTCCTGGCCACTGCGGCCGTTTGGGGAGTGAACCAGTGAATGGAAGATCTCTTTCTCCCTCCTTCCCTCTCCCTTTGACTCTCACCTCTCTAACTCGGCTTTCAAAGAGATATACAAATCTTTAAAAGAAAAAAAAAGTCTACTTACCTAGCCACTAAATTTATATTGCCAAAGGGTGAGCCCTTCAAAAAAAAAATCTACAAACACAAAGCTGATTGTCCTTATTGTGAACTCTGGATGCCAGCAACAAATATTTGGCAGAATCACAAAGGATTTTCAAGGATTGGGTAAGAAAAAGCAATTGTAGGAACCGCTTCTATGATAAAGGCAGAGTGCCTGTGGTAGCTCGAGTTTATGCTGTCTCACATGCACGAGAGCACATGACTGGGTGCCGCGCACAAAACTGCGTCTTCCCTCCTTCACGCCCCAGGGAAGCAGTTCTCAAAGTGGTGTCCCCAGGTCCTCTGGGATCCTGGAGACCTTTGCAGGGCCTCTTTGAGGTTAGAACTATTTTCAGGGCAGTCTTTTGGTACAACGGTTCAGCTGCTGCCTGGGACACATGCACCCCACACTGGAGTCCTGGCTCTGCTCTCCATTCCGTCACCCAACAGAAGGGAGCTCTCTGTCTCTCTGCCTTTCAAATAAGTGAAAGCATTTTCATAATAATACTAAGACCTTATTTGCCTTTTTCAGTATTGACACTTGCAAGTGATGGGGAAAAAGCAACAGTGGAAAAACTGCCGGTGCCTTAGCACCACGCTGTCCCAGCTGTCCACACGCTCCTGACCACCACGCACTTGCAAAGGGAAAACCAGACAGTTCAGCGTGAAGATGTCCCTCGTGTGGTTTCACTGTGGCACTTTCACAGTGGGGGAGAGAAGGATCTCTTTGGGACCTCGGGTTGGTCCCAATGGTCACAGTGGCCTCTCTTTCCTCGAGGGGGGCAGCATGCCCCGGGCACTGATGCTGTGTAGGACCATAGGCCACCTCGTGTGGCATCTTCAAAGAAACTGTCAGGGACTACAGCGGTCATGTCAGCCTGGGTGTTAAGTGCTCCAAGGAGGTAGCCACTGGCATCCTAAGGGTCATCATCCTGGCCAAGCTCTCCAGTGAAGAGAGGGTACTGGGGGAAAAGATGGGCAAGCTCCACACCGTGCATTTCAAGGGGACAGGCTGCTGTGGCTCTGTGCCTGTGCATCTCATCCCCACCCGCTCAGCACAGCGTCATCTCAATCCCCGTGCCCAAGAATCCACTGCTGATGGCTGGCACTGATGACTGCCACACCTCAGCCGGCAGCTGCACTGCCACCCGGGCAACTTCACCCACGCCACCCCTGATGCCCTCTGCAAGGCCTTGCAGCTGTCTGACACCCCTCCTGGGGAAAGAGACTGTGTTCACTGAGTCTGCCCACCAGGAATTCCCTGACTCACACCAGAGCATCCGTGCGGAGGCCCCCGGCTCCAGCTGTGGAGACAACACAGGGTATTTATACAAGAAAAACAGAGCGAATCCATCCTGTTTTTAAAAAAGAAAGACTGTCCTTGACAAGTCATGGCTGTGTTGAATCTCAGCCTTGAGTGTGTGTCTCATACTAGTCCATGCAATAAAAAGGTAAGCATAGCCCCAGTGCTCCTGTTGCACCCCGAAGTGCAACTGTGTCGGGAGAATCAGCCGTGGGACTGTCTGGGGTGCAGGTTGAACCAGCTGCTTTTCCCATGCATACACAAGCTGTGGTCATTCAGATTTGAGTACTGGCAGATTGTTCTGGGACAATTAATGAAATGAGTCTGCCACTTCAAGCAAAACCACTGACCGTGTTTGTTGCCGATGATAAATTCAAACTCTGAAGTGAAAATCAGAATTTTGGAAAATTTATATCAACCACTGTGAAATCAGTCTCCACCCAAAATTTAAAGATGTCCCTGATGTCAGCCTTTGGAACATCTACATAATTCAAGAAACCAGTATTTTCCAGATGGCTAAGGCATGATGTTGTAAAATCATATGTGGGTAAAAGAGTCATTCAAAAATGCAATGGAGGGGCCAGCGTCATGGCACAGCGGGTTAACGCCCTGGCCTGAAGTGCCGGCATCCCATATGGGTGCCGGTTCGAGACCAAGATACTCCACTTCCAATCCAGCTCTCTGCTATGGCCTGGGAAAGCAGTAGAAGATGGCCCAAGTCCTTGGGCCCCTGCACCCACGTGAGAGACCCAGAAGAAGCTCCTGGCTTCAGATCAGTGCAGTTCCGGCTATTGTGGCCAATTGGAAAGTGAACCATCGGATGGAAGATCTCTGTCTCTCCTCTCTCTTTGTAACTCTGAATTTCAAATAAATAAATAAATCTTTTTTAAAAAAGATTTATTTATTTATTTGAAGGCAGTGGAGCATGGCCCAACTGCTTGGGCCCCTGCACCTGCATGGGAGACTGGGGGGGGGGGGGGGGGCTGGCTCCTGGCTTCGGATCAGCAACCTGTGGTGGCCATTTGGGGGGTGAACCAACAGAAAAGGAAGACCTTTCTCTCTGTCTCTCCCTCTCTCACTATCTAACTCTGCATGTCAAAAAAAAAAAAAAAAAAAAAAAAAAAAAAAGCAGCAGCAGCAGCTGCTTGGGATATCTGCATTCCGTATCAGAGTATCTAGTGTTAGTCCGGATTCTGCTTCTGATTCCAGTTTCCTGCTATTTGGCAGTGGTGATGGCTCAAATACTCGAGTTCCTGCCACCCATGTGGGGGACCTAGACTGAGTTCTGGCCTAGCCCTGTCCATGGGGAGTGAATCAGTGGATGGACAGCTTCTCTGTCTCTCTGCTTTTCAAATAAATAAATAATTAAATTCCTTAATTCATTTCAAAATAACCTTAGACCCATTATACTCGTTGCATATAAATGTATATATAAATTTTTTGTTTTGTAAAACACAAAGGAAATTTGATGAGAAGGGCATGATTTTACATTTTTGCAAATTTCTTTAATGTCTAAAATTATAGAAAACTACATTAAAATTGTAAGATACATGTAACAAAACTCTGTCATTTTAATCATTTTAAAGTGCAACAGCTTAACTGTTTTGGTATTCAGTCTGTTCCAATATATTGAAGAATGTGTAGAAAATACGACTCCCTAGAGAAATGTAGTTGGAAAATAGAGGAGTATTTTAACAGCCTTTTTAGATTACTGTGGATATTCTTTCTGATACTGCCCCATCATCGAACAAGCGGTAGTTTCTTTTTTTTTTTCTTTTTTTTTTTTTTTTTTTGGCCAGGCAGTTAGACAGTGAGAGAGAGAGAGAGACAGAGAGAGAGTTATAGACAGTGAGAGAGAGAGAGGTCTTCCTTTCCGTTGGTTCACTCCCCTAATGGCCACTATGTCCGGCGCTGCGAAGATCCGAAGCCAGGAGCCGGGTACTTCCTCCTGGTCTCCCATGCGAGTGCAGGGCCCAAGCACTTGGGCCATCCTCCACTGCACTCCCGGGCCACAGCAGAGAGCTGGACTGGAAGAGGAGCAACCGGGACAGAATCCAGCACCCCAGCTGGGACTAGAACCCAGGGTGCTGGCGCCGCAGGCGGAGGATTAGCCAAGTGAGCCACGGTGCCAGCAAGCAGCTTCTTAATCACTGTGACAACGCCTATCCTGAATTAAGGAAACTTTTTAACTTCTAGGTTTGTTTCAGTTGCTAATACTGTAACTATCAATATGTAACTTTCGTAAACAAAAGCTACTTAGCTTCCTCATTAATAACTTTTAGGAGTGTAAATCTGTCTAAAACCAAAAAGTTTGGGACATACAGCTTATGAGAAGTCTCTTAGACCAGTTACAGCCTTTGCTGACTACCCCAGCCCCAAGATTTCACCCCACTGTCAAATCCATTCCCGTTCACCAGCTCCACCAGCTCCACACCCTGTAGGCCAAGGCCACTGCCACTGCCACCACCAGCCTCTGGGGGTTTCAGGTTCCTGCCTATGCCAAAGGACTGAGCATCTCCCCTTAACTCCCTGGAGAGGGTGCTGGGCACTTGCTACAAGAATGAGGCTAGAAATGGTTGGAGAGAGACACCAGAACTCAATGTTGAAAAGCCGGGGAGTTTTCTGACGCAGTCTCCTTTGCCAAAGTTGACTCAGGTTTAGCCACAGATTGGCACTGCTGGTACAGTTCACCAAGTGCATCAACAAAACTGTCAAGAATGTCACTGTCTTCTCCAGGTGTCGCAGGGAAGGCTACCCCACCTTGACCTTTCCTCTGTCTACAATGGCACCCAGCCACCTTGAGACCAGCGCTCCCTCTGACGTGTTTCAGGTCCCTCACTTCTGCTCTGTAGTGGCTCCCGAGCCTGCCCAGTCTAGAATTCACACGTCAGCTCCCTTCCTGTTTTAAAAACTGTCACCTCTTCATAAAATTCCGTCTGATGACGCTAGTTCCGGCTGGAAAAGGTCTTTAGGTGTGTCATACACAAAGTACAAATAGGTGCCTGGAGACAAATGGACAACATGCCACTCAGGCCAGCTCTTCCAGTGGCCAGCAGCTCCCCACCAACAGCGGGAGACTGGGCCTCAGACCCGTGGCGAATGACCGAACCCTTATGATTCCAAAATCCCAAGAGAAATACCAAAACTGAGACCGTGGGCCAATGGAAAGAGGAGAATTAAGCACAGCATGCTCATATGCGTACGCACTCCAGTGCCTGCATACGGAAAACTCAGTGTGTTTTTTTCTTCTGGATATTGTTATTGTATAGCAAAGTACACAGGAGGCTCTGGCAGAAGGCAGAAACACAAATACTACTTGACCCAGGCTAACTGGTAGATGAGAAGCCTGAGACATCTTGTCTTTCCTCACCCTGTTTTCCTCTTTTTTTAAAAAAAAGATTTATTTTATTTATTTGAACGATGGAGTTACAGAGAGAGGTAGAGACAGAGAGAGTGAGCGAGAGAGCAGCCTGGTCTCGAACTGGCGCCCATATGGGATGCTGGCACTTCAGGCCAGGGTGTTAACCCACTGCACCACAGCAACGGCCCCTCTATTTTCCTCTTTTTAACATTTCCCTTTCTTAGTAATTCTGGCTCAAAAGATTACCCTCTTTCCTTCTTATTCCACCAGCATTTCAACAAACTTTACCCTTGACTATCTTTGCCAAAGGTTAATTCCTCGCCAAAGCTCGTCCTCAGAATTAACAGCTCCGCGTGCTCTGCTGAAAGCCCTGTAGCTTGGTCCCAAAGAATCCCAAAAAGTTGTCATGGGGGCTGTTTCGGCATCAACTATATCAACAGCCACAGCTATTTGCCGCCTCCTATCCCAGTTGTCGGGGCAAAGTTTGTGCTGCACCTCGTCTCCGCCACTCACTCACTATCCAACAGGCTGGGCTTCAACATGCAGAGACCTGGCTCAGGAATGCAGGTCGGCATGGGATTTCCAAGTGGGCACACTGAGCTGTCAACACAGTGTCAGCCCCCCAGTGAGGAGAGTGACATGCTTAGGTGGGGACAACCTATCCAAGCTACCGAGGGAAGCCAAGAAGCACCTGAGCACGCAGCTGCACCCAAAATCACCACCTGGCTAGGACGGTCAGGCCCACCACGAGGACACACGGAGCCCAAACGTCCAGCTTGGGACAGGTGTTGTCGGAGGCCTCCATCCACTGTCAGACAGGGTCCAGACACGTATCAGCAAACCTCTCCCGCAGTACTTCCGCAAGCCTAAAGCTGGGATGAGGGAAAGTCTTTGTTTTAAATGCCTGCATCTGGGGCTGGCACCGAGGTGCCGACGGTTAAGCCACCATTTGTGAAGCTGGCATCCCATGTCAGAGTGCTGTTTTGAGTCCCCGTTGCTCTACTTCCGATCCAGCTGCTTGCTAACATGCCCAGGAAGGCAGCAGATGATGGCCCAAGGGCCGACTTGGACCCCTGCCACCCGTGAGGGAGAGTTCTGGCCCCCGGTTTCCCCTGGCCCAGACGTGGCTGTTGCAGTGATTTACGGTGTGAAGGGGAGTGAACCAGAAGATCAAAGATCTCTCTTCTCTCTCCCCCATGCTCTCTCTCCCTGTCTCTGTCACTGCCTTCTGAAGAAATAATAAATCTTATTAAAAAGAAAGCATCTGGCAACGCAATGACTCCCAAACACTCCTTCCTACAAAGACAGAGTCCTTCCTTGGTGTGGCTCTGGAGGGGATGAGCATCTTTGTTCTGCCTTCCTAATATTTACAAGGGGGAAAGAGGACGTCTAGATATTTTCTAACAGTTTTGATTTCCACCTTTGCGACCCTATCTCTCTGAGAGGAGAAGCCAACAGCTACAGACAGTACTCCTCACTGGTTTTGCTTGTGGCCCAAGGAAGAAAGAGCAGCCAGAACCTCTTGGGCACTGTGGTTCATTCGAAACACAGGTGAAGGGCCCCTTCTTCCCATCACTTGAATCAGATCGTCTCTCCTTAGTAATTGCTCCACACTTTTCTGTATCTTTTCCAAAACCTGGCCCTATGCTGAGTATTTCTTCAACCTCCTCTTCCTGCCTTATGTTTTCTTAGAGCTTAACACAAAACAAATATTATATTCTGATTACTTATTGTTTGACTCCCATATTGGCATGCAATTAGAACTCTCCTAGGATGACATCTACAATTAACTGAAAACTTCCTGCCCTCTGTGATAGGGGCACACGTTTCGCTCCCTGCTGGATTCCCAGAACCTAGATCTCTGTCTAGCTTAGAATAAATTATTTGTTGAATGAATGAATGAACAGACCGAGGTTCTGGGCCTAATTCATATTCTACAACTCAATTCTCCGTTCTGCATTCAGGCCACAGAGACTTTAAAGGCCCCTGCCTGCCTCCACACCACCTCCTGGTCAATTCCAGAAATTTACAAACCCATCTCCCCCTCAGACAACCAGGCCCTCTCTTTCAGCAGTGGTTATCTAGGTCTGACACAAAGTCCTATCGAGTTGATCTTCATTTTTCAAAAATTTTTTTATGTATTTATGTGAGGGGGTCAGACAGATGACAGACATAGCCCCCATCAGTTGGTTCCCTCCACAAATGCCCACAACAGCTGGGCATTTGGCTGGACCAAGCCAAAGCCAGGAGCCAAGAGCCAGGAACCCAAGCCAGGTCTTCTCCCACATATGTGGCAAGAATCCAAGCACTTGACCCATCACCTGCTGCCTCCAGGGGTGTGCATTAGAAGAAAGCTCAGGGCCAGCATTGTGGCACAGCAGGTTAAGCTGCTGCTTGCAACACTGGCATCCCATATCAGAGTGCTGGTTCAAATACTGGCCGTTCCACTTCCAATCCAGCTTCCTGCTGCATTTCTGGGAATGCAACAGTACATGGCTATCTCCACCCACGTGGGAGACCAGAGTGAAGTTCCTGGCTCCTGGCTTCAGCTTGGCCCAGACCTGGCTGTTCTGGCCATTTGGGTAATGAACTTGAGGATGGAAGATTCTCTCTCTCCCTCCCTCCCTCCCTCTCTCTCTCAAATGGAAGGAAGAAAGCAAGCAAGCAAGCTAGTTAATTAGTTAGTTGCTTGGTTGTAATTGGGAGTGGAGTGGAAACCTGAACCCAGGCACTCTGATATAGGATGTAGGCATCGCAACCATTGGCTTAGCCACTAAACCAAACGTCCCCCAAAGCTGATCTTCTTAATGCTGCTCACACCTACCCCATAATCTCCGCCACCACTGCTGTTACCTCAGTTCACCCCTACTTGGGATTTATTCAAAGAGTTCACTAATCTCCAGCCTCACACTCTTGCAACCCACACTCCCTGGGACTAAAAGAGTAAGCTTCTAAAATGTAAATCAGCTGCCTAAGCCTTGTATTTAAAGCTCATCCATGGCTCTCCAGCAAGACAGAGTCAAATCCCAACCCTTTCCCATGTCACCCACAGCCTTCCTGTCCTGATGAACCATGTACATTGCCCAACCCCACGGAGAAACACAAGTGCCAGCCTCTGCCCTGCCGTGCTGTCTGCATCCAGCGTCTTCCCTCTGTCCACCTAAAGAGCCACGGCTCAGTCTCAGGATGCAGCCCGAGTACACGCACCTCGCCAGAGTGTCCCGACTCACCCACACACTCTGCGACATTTGTAACTGTGAGCTCACTGAGGTCAGGAACAGTTACCAAGACTTCTTCACACCCACAGCGTCAGGCATGGACAGTAGGAACACAACAGAGATTTTAGGGTGAGTGTGTGAATCTGCAGAAACACTGAAACCCGACCCTTAATCAAGACCAGTTCAGATAAATCAGACAGGAATTGCTTCCCTTCACGCCGCCAGGCTGATTCTAGAATCCCTGCTCAAGCTGCCGATGTCCACTCTGCAGAATCCTCTACCTGGTACTTTCTCACTGTTTTCAGCAAAAGGGGAACTAGGTAAAGACAGAGGCTAGAATAAACCTTATGCACGTAAGCTCGACCGCGTGGATGGAAGGGCAGCCCACACAAAAATCTTAACAGCTTCAAAGAGGGTCCGGAAGTTGCAGAGATACCCTCTATCACTGGAGTCCTGTCCACAAGGGTTTTCAAGATGAGCTGAAGAAGCAAAAACCAAAATGCCAGGAAGACAGTTAAAAGAGAGAACAGCATTAAAAAAATCAACGGTTTAGCTAAGCTTTCTGTTTTTCCCTACTTCCTTTGCACTACTAAAATTTTTCCTCCATAAATACATAGTGTGCACAAACTTAAGGAAAAATTTAATTTAAGTCAAATTTACACTAATTAAGGTAGAAAAAAACTACAAACTTACTTCAGCATGTTATTAGTCTGTGTTTTTGAGTCCCCTGATCTATAATTATTTTTAAATGACCAATAAATTAACAAAACGTGATTACCAAACATTTAGTGACGTGGAGATGTTTCAAATGTAGTGATTACACTTGTTTTTATTTTTGGAATTCGTGCCACACACACTACAAAGTGCAACTTACACAAGTGTTATCACTGCCCTTTGGCCCAATATGCAACCTGCCCCCACAATCCCTGAGCACAAATCCCAGAACACCAGGCTCTGAAGATCCCCACATCCCCTCGTGCTCACTGACACCTTCAGGCCCTCTTAAACAGGAGAATCTCCCCAAGGAACAGCAAACGTGTCTTCCAGCATCGTTGATGCAGCATTTAAAGCTCTTCTGGGTCAAAGAAACTCTCAAATGAAGATATTTTCTGCTGCACCAGTAAATCCTTCAACAACTCACAAAATTACTGTAACAGAGAAAAACAGGAGGACAAAGCACACTTGCCAGATAGCGATAATAAACAAAGGACGAGGAGCACTCAGGTCACAAGTCAGAGAAAGAAAATGCCCGTTGAGCATGCAGGACTGTTTCAAAGCCAACTACCTATACGAGGTCCAGCTCGGTCGCTCGCTGTCTCCGATTCAAACTAGCAGTTCTCCTCCTCAGGATTCCCTTTCTCGGGGCTTGTAACTGCACGATTAGGCAGTGCGTGAGCACCGCAAAATGACAGTACAGATTTACAAACACAAGCTTTTAAAAATCAGTGTTATTTTCTCTATGCACTTCTAAAATAGATGTTCCCCCTCAATCTGTAAGATGTTAGTAAAACATGAAGACTTTTTTAAAGCGGGCAGGAGAAGGTAAGGAATGCAGAGAGAGCACTTGGAATCCTTCTTTTTGGCCCCACTATTTATACATCACCCCCTCCCCCAGGCCTTAGAGATTTTGGCCCTCTATAAAAATAAGGGGAAAAAAAGAAAGAGAAGTGAAAACATCAAGAAGAGCAGTAAAGAGCTTAAGGTCGAGGACAAGGGGTCAGATACAGATCTCAGGTGTTGGAGAGAGGGGGATATAAACCCGCCTTTGGGTACATTTCTCATTTGCGGGTTGGCTGGTGGCTTGAGAAACTGAACCTTCTAAACTACCCGGGGGTCTGTGTGGCAGGACAAACACCACAATAGAGCATCGTTAAACAAATCAAAGTTGACAGCTGCAGATACAAACATTTTTTTGAAAAAGAGACCAAGGCAGCAAAAGGCAGTGTGCCCATAGAGGCTTATAATTCCTTCCGATCCGAGAGAGCCCCGTGGGGCACAGCCGACGTCCGGTCCCTGCTCTGACGATGAGCAAAGCGAGGCCTACAGAGAGGGAAGGCTTCCTTTTCACACTTTGCTGACAAAGGCGTGAGAAAAGGCTTGGATGGGACTGAAGGGTGACCAAGTGACACGCAAAGGCCATTTCTCTGGGTGCTTCTCGGTGCTGAAGGGTTGGGGGACCCGGAATTCCCAAAACACAGCCTCAGGATTTCAGAAACAAAAACAGCCGGCTGGCGGTGTGGCCCTCCTTCCAAAGGTCTCGTCTAGGTCAGCACTATCTCAGTGTCCCCGTCTGCAGTCTGCAGTGGGAACAGCCCTGTGATAATTGACTCACTGGAGGAAAAGTCACCCGGCTCCCGAGACTTCCCCTTGGGTACGGGATCCTGACACAACTGAGCTGCCTCTGGATACCCAAGCTGAAAAGAGACAGACTTTTTTTTTAATGCAATACAAACAGGACCGGGGAAGGAGGCTAAGGCAAAGAAACACACATACCTTTCAACTGGTCAGCCACCACGCTCTGGCCCAGGCGCTCAAACACTTTCCCGTCTTCCATTTCGTACCGGTCGTCTAGGTATTTTGCGGTGGCTTCGGAAATGTGGACTTTGCCGGCCACTCCCAGCTGCTCCATGAGATTGGCCAAATTCACATCATTGGACCACACGTCGAACTTAAACCTCCTCATGCCCAGGATGCCACACAGGACGGTCCCCGTGTGGACCCCGACGCGCATGTTTACCATTTCTTTCTTCTCCTGGCAGAACTGCTCGATGGCTTTGATCATGCCCAAGCCCATCTCTATACAGCAGTAGGCATGGTCTGCCCGGGGCTCGGGACAGCCCGCCACGCAGTAGTAACAGTCTCCCAGGGTGCTGATCTTCTCACACTTGGTCTCCTCGCACAGCCGGTCGAAGCGGCCAAACAGATCATTCAGGAGGCCCACCAGGGCGTGAGCGGACTTGTTGGCGCTCATCTTGGTGAAGCCCACGATGTCTGCAAACAAAATGCTGACTTCCTCAATCTGCTGCATCTTAAAAGGGCGGAACGCTATGGGAGCCTTCTGGATGGAGGACTTCTTCTTCCTGTTCTTGGGGCTCGAGGTGGCGTGCCTCTTGACAGAATTCTCACTCTCCTCGTCCCCCTGCTTCATCAAGTCGTCCGCTATGATTCTCGGCATCACGGAATGAATCATCCTCTCTTTGAGGGCTTTTTCTACTTCCAGGTCTTTGCCGTGCATGATGGACTGTCCCACCTTCAGGAAGGTGCTCCGGGACCGCACCTGCGACATGATGAACAGGTGGATCCCGATGGCATGGATGCACAGGTGGAGCAGGGCCCTGCTCAGCAGCTCCCAGTGCAGGACCGGCGCTCCAGGCCAGGGGAAGCAGTCTTCGTTCCGGAAGTGATACCCGAAGGTCTCAAACAGAACAGAATAGGCCACCCCCAGAAACAAGCTCAAGTACAGAGGTAAGTGCATGACGGTGTAGAGCAAAAAGAGCACTTCGATGCACATGGAGAAGCTCCCCACTTGAGATAAGCAGGTGTCTGCGGGCTGGGCCGCGGGAGTGTGATTGGAGCTGTCAGCACGGCCCGCCAGAGGCGTCAGAACCTGAAACTGCGCAGCCAGGGTCAGGGCGAACACCAGCAGGGTGAGAACCAGCGAGGTCCAGGCGTAATGCCGGGCGTACAGCTTGGTGAAGGTAAACAGAAAAAAGCCCACACACGCCGCGAGGAAGCAGAGCGCCGGCGCCACCATGACAATCAGCTTGGATCTCGTGTGGACGGCGAAATAGACGCTCCAGAGCAGGCAGGCGAAGCCGACGTAGAAGAGCGCGTACCGGAAGCGGCGCTGGGTCTGCGGGAAGCAGCGCTCCAGGCAGGCCTCCTCCAGGTTCACCGAGTCGAACTTGGGGTCCCACCAGCGGCTCGAGGCCCTCTCGAACAGCTGCGGCAGCTTCTTCTGCCGGCGCAGGCGGGCCCCGCCGCCCAGCCTGCGGGGCGCGCCCGCGGAGTCCCCCGAGCTGCTGCAGCTGGAGGAGATGCTGTACTTGCAGTGCTTGGGGTGGCTGCTGCAGGACAGCTGCTTGGGGTTGATCTTGACCCGCACGCTGTTGCTGTCGCCGCTGGAGTCACAGCTCACCTCGGTGCTGTGGTGATGCAGCAGCTGCTGGTGGGGCGGGGAAGCCATGTTGCGGCGCTCCGAGCCTTCTCGGCCGTCGCTCGTACCTGTCGGCGGAACGGCGAGAGTTAGGTCGGCTTCTGGACCGGCACGTCCCCGGCGGAGCGCCCCGGAGAGGCACCGCACGCTCCCAGCCACCTCCCCGCGAAGGCGAAGCGAAGCCCCGCCGTCCCCCCTCCCGGACGGACCTGGAACACCGGGGTCCCGCAGCCGCGGCCGCCCTCGGTCCGGGACGCGGTCCTGCTGCCCGCGGCGCCCTCGCCGCGCCGGAGGCCTCCGCGCTGCCCCCGCGGCTGCTCCGGAGGGAAGTTCAGCCCTGGAGCGCTCCCGGCGCTGCGAGCGGCGTTCCCGAAAACAACTCGGCGGGCGGCGGGCGGCCCCTCATCCCGCACCCGAGGCGCCGCTGCGTCAGAGGGGCGCGGGCCGGTCCTGCGGCTCTGGCCGCGTCCCCTCCCGGCGCCGCCGAGCCCGGCGAGCTACCCCGGCCCGCCCTGCCCGCAGCTGGGTGTGCGCCCCGGCCCGCGAGTTTGCAGAACCCGCAGGCGGGCAGGCGGGCGGGCGGGCGGCGGCGTCGGCGGGGCCCGTCTAGCGGGGCCTGCTGCCCACCGCCCGCCGAGCACGCTGCCGCCCCGCCGGGGCCGCCGATGCCCGGGCCGAGCCGCGGGGCCGAGCGCAGGGAGCCGCGCGGGCCCCTCAGAGGGCGCCGGTGCGGGGCTGCCGCAGAGCCGGGCTCCCGCGACGCCGGTCCGGACTCCCGCCGCCGCGCCCACGCCCGGGGCCGCCTCCCCGAGCTACAGATGCAGCCGCGGCCGCGCCCGCTGCCGTCCCTCCTGCGGCCGCTGCCTCATGTCGGAAGAGCAGCCGCCGCGGCCGCCACCATCTCCGGCCCCCTCCCCCTCCCGCTGTCACTGACAGACGCGCGCCCGCGCCGCCCCTCGCCCCGCCGCAGCGCGCACGCGCGGCCCGCGCACGCCGCCACCGACCCCGGGCGCGCGCACAAGGGGGTTGCGCGCGCGCGCGCGCAGCCCAGGCTCTGAGCCCGCCGGGCTCGGGGCTGCGGGGCGGGCGCGCGCTCGGCTCCGCCCTCCGCCCCGGGCCGCGCCCAGGCCGGCAGCTGCAGAAGCTGGGAGCCCGGCGTCCGCGCACGCTGGGACCACCTGCCCGGCCGCGGGCCCCAGACCCCGGGGAGGGAAGAGCCGCAGGGGCGCAACGCTTCGGGAAGCGGCGTGCTTCCCCCACACCCCCGCGCACCTTTTCAGCAAATCCAACTTCTCAGCACTGGGGTTTGCCTCCAAGCAGTGAGTGCGCACCCTCAGTGCCACTAGCCGCCCCCTGAGCCTGCCCACCAGGCGACCACCGCAGGCCGAGGCCCGCCGCCCGCCGTAGCAGGGTGCAGCTGAAGGCCGCCCCTCCAGCCCCGGGAGGGAATTTGTCTTCCCCCAACTCATGAGCAGCTGTTTTTTTTTTTCCCTGTGCCACAAATGAAACTTTGAGAAGTTTGCTTCCCTTACACCACAAACGTTGCCACGTGTATATGAAAACGTGGTGCACACACGCAGGGGCAGCGAGGTCCTGATCCTCGCGAGGTGGACTGTGAAAGGCGCCAGTGGGTGATTCTGTTCACCCGGAATGTCCAGAATGGGACAGAACACAGGTTAGCGGGTGCCGGAGCCTGGAGGACGGAGAAGCGGGGGAGTGACTGCATTAAACTGGGTTGGAGTTTCCTTTTGGGATGAGGAAAAAGTCCACAGTAGTCGGAGGTGACAGGGCATTATGAATTACATAGTGGCTGCAGAACACTCCGACAGACCTAATGCCATTGCATTACACACTTTAAAATGTTTGAAATGGGGCCGGCGTTGTGGCACAGCAGGTAAAGCCGCCTCCAGAGATGCAAGCATCCCATACGGGCACCGGTTAGAGTCCTGGCTGCTCCACTTCTGATCCAGCTCCCTGCTGATGTGCCTGGGAAAGCAGTGGAGGACCCCCCAAGTGCTTGGATCCCTGCTACCCACTTGGGGGTCCTGGAGGAAGCTCCTGGCTTCAGCTTGGCCCAGCCCCAGTCACTGGGGCCATTTGAGGAGTGAACCAGCAGATGGAAGGTCCTCCCTCTGTCCCTCTCTCTGTAACTCTGCCCTTCAAATAAATAAATAAATAAATAAATAAATAAATATTTCTTTTAAAAATGTTTGAAATGGTAAATTTGCTATTGTCTCTGTTTTACCTCTATTAAAGGGGGTACATTAAAAGTAACACACCATTGCTATCGTGTTCCTGCCGAAAGTGTGTATCTAGACGGATCATGAGAAAACATCAGATGATCCCAAACAAATATTCTACACGGTCATCCTAAGTGTTGAGGTCGTGAAGCCGGAACTTCCCAGAACTGTCGCTAAGGGGACCAGCAACCAAACGGAACACAAAAGGAGAGATGGGTGACGTCCACATAGTCTGAAGTTCAGTGAACGATGCCGTGGCATTGTTAATTTCCTGGTTCTGATCTTTGTACTGTGGTTATGTAAGACACTAACATTGGGAAAAGAGGGGGATAGGGTACAGAGCTGTTCCCTGGTATGTTCACAACATTTCTTTAAGTCTAAAATATTACAAAATAAAGTTTTTCCCGTTAGAAATGAAAACAAAGCTTTGTTGAGCATCAGCTATGTGCCAGGCCCTCTCATGTGTCTGGGCACGTTAATAGTAAACTGGCATTGAGCAAAGGCGTCCTCCGTGCCAGAAACTACTGAGTGCTTTCACTTGTGACCTATTTGGTCCTCGCCACAACCCTCAGAGGTAGGTATTATTGTCCCTCATTTAGAGATGTGAAACCAGTGGCTGCAGGGCAATGTGCCCGAAGTCCCACAAAGGGTAAGTCACGAGCTCAGGAGGAAACCAGTTCACGGACATCTGTGGCCACAGAAGGGCTCTGGCACCACCTTCTGCGAGCCTCACGGTGGCCACACAGGGACCTACCTGTCTCCTCCATCAGCCCCACTGAATGGGAAGCCCGTGGAGACAGGGCCCAGGACTGCCACCCCCCCCCACACACACACCCTTCAGTGCAGCACTGTACACTTCCTGGGTCCCTTAAACAATCTGAAAGCTCTCCTGCCTGCACTTCTCCCCTCCTCAAATCATTTCAGTCACCATTTGTGGTACCTTTTTGTAAATTAATTAGTCAGGGCAGGCACTGTTGCACAACAGGTTAAGCCACAGCCTGCAGGGCCAGCACCCCATATGGGTCGCCGGTTAGAGCCCCATCTGCTCCACTTCTGATCCAGCTCCCTGCTAGTGCACCTGGGAAAGTATCTGAGGATGACTCAAGTCCTTGGGTCCCTGCACCCACGTGGCAGACTGGAAGAAGCTCCTGGCTTCTGGCATTGGCCTGGCCCAGCCCTGGTCATTAATGGACATTTGGGGAGTGAACCAGCCAAAGGAAGATCTCTCAATCTCCCCCCACCCCTCCTCTTCTGTCTCTATGTAACTCTGACTTTGTGTGATTCTACCTTTCAAATAAAAATAAATAAATATTTTAAAAGAAAAAGATGAATTAGTCATGTCGGGTTTTAGGTGTGGGTAATGATCGTACCCACTGCGCGATCTCTCCTGTATGCAGTTCAGCGGCCTCCCCTGCTGTGGAGACCTCTGGGCTGCCAGAGCCGCCTGGACTCTGAGTGAGAGTGTGAATCATTCCATAAACCCTCAGGGACTGGGGAGGTGGTGCTTGGTGCTGTGCACTGGGCCCATGTACTACCTGATATGCCATCCCTATCTTTAAGGGAACTGGGAAAGATGCCCTGGGCAGCAGCCCCTGGCTATGAGAATGGAATTTTCATAGGCTTGGTGACAGACTGGATGAGGGAGAGTACTACAAAAGAGTCTAACCATGCTCTCCTAACAAAGTGGGCTCACCAGAGGGTTCTGAGTCCTTGACCCCCTCCCCCGAAAGCACAGAGGAGCCTCATTCCTAGAAGGTACAGGTCAGATGCACTGGCTTCCTCAAGCCATCCATTCCAGGCTGCTGCCCAATCTAGGGTTTTCTCTCCATCTGTGATGTTCACAGAACTCCCACCCAGACGCAGTGCGAATCAGAATGTGTCCACGCAAACTCTACCATAGCTCTACCAAAAGCCTTGCCTGCCAGTCCCTCATCCTCACCCTCCTTCACACGCCAGTTCCCTGAGCAGTGAGGGCTTGGCTGCAAGTTCTCAAGTCCCATAGGGTGACAACAAGACCAGCTCTGAGATACATGTCAACCTGACTAATTCATGCCGTCTCGTCACACCGGTGCCTGAGGTCTTGGCTGTGCCTGTGTTAGTTTTGGTTGTCCAGTGGGCAACAACCTTGGAGAACCACCCACTGGAAGACGGGACTCCCTGCTGTTTTCAGAGCACATGTCCGAAGCTGCAGTTATGAGTCCGCTTTTCTGTAAGCCAGAGAAGGGGAGTCTTTGCGCACCTACTCACGCTTTTTCCCCACCGTTGACATCCTGGATCCTGGTGGCTGGTCATGAGTCTCGAGCAGCTGCCTTTACATCGACAGAGGATCAGGTGTCCTTGCAAAGCAAAACAAGACTCTACATTAGAGATCACCAAAGTCTTCTGCAAGCCTGGTATATTCGCCTTAGCCCCGTACACAGACTCTAAACCCTGCTGTGGTGCTGCAGGGCCCGGTAACTGTACATTGAATGACTCTTTGTGGGAATTAGAAGGCATAAGTGAAGTAGTCAAACTCTCAATTGCCTTTCATAAGCAGAACAAGCAACATTTTATACGAGCTTATAGCTGCTCCGTCCCTACACTTATACTAGAGTCTCCATCTTGAGCCTCGGCCTAGATTATGTGACAGCATATACTGGGATATGACTCCACGGGAGCAGGGAAGACAAGGCCCTGGGAACAATCACAGGTTTAAGCCAGGACGCACTGGTCTGTGGCCCCGGAAAGATGAGCTCAGTTGAAAGAGAGAATGGAGACTCCAAGTATAGCATGGTATCTGCCGCTCTAATTTACCTCCTGGCCCAGCTCCTGCTAGAATGTTTGCTGGTCCTGTCTCACCTTGTGGAGAGTGGTGAGGAACGGTGAATGAGTCTTGGAAAAACTGCAAGAGCTGCACATGTGTTGGGTAGTGTCCCCTCACAATGCATGCCCACCAGGAATCTCAGAATGTGACCTTGTTTAGAAACAGTATCTTTGCACATGTAATAGGCGAAGATAGGGTCATATTAGATTATGGGGGCCTTAAACCCAATGACTGATGTCCTTGTAAGGAGAGGAGAAAACACAGAGACACAGGGGAGAAGGCAGCCATGTGAAACCCCAGGCAGAGATAGGAGCGATGCAGTAACCAACCAAGGACAGCACAGCATTGCTGGGAGATGCCAGAGCCTTCAGCGGGAGCAAGGCCCTGCCGACACCTTGATTTCGTACTTCTGGTCTCCGCAACTGTGAGAGAATAAGTTTCTACGGTGTTAAGCCCTCTAGTTTACAGTCATTTGTTATGGCCGCCTCAGGAAATGAATATGAGCCACTTCATTACAACTCAGTGAGTCAGCAGGCTACAATCAAGGCTGCTGAGTGATTCCTCTATCACCGTGGACACAGGGCAGGGGGCTCTCCCCGACTCACGGCACACTTGAGCAACCCCTTAGCGTCGTAGGAGCTACTGGCTGCTGGAGACTGCCAAAGACACCACCGGGGATAGGGATCAGAGGTGGGAGAATCACGTCACTTTTGTCTAACTTTTTTTTGGTCACTTTTGTACAGGAGCCTGAGGAAATTAGTGCAGGCTGAATAACATTGGGCACCATTATACCACTTGAGTCAAGAATATTAATTATTTGCCCATGGCCATCGAGCTGTCAAGGGTCTTGTGTGTCCCTTGTTGGTGTTGAAAGCTTAGCTGCCATTTTCCAGGTTGACCCTGTCTGAAGCCTGAGTTTCTTTCTCAAAGCTCACTCTCTAGGTGTCGTAGATCTGATGCTTGACCAGGCTGTGTCTTGTGTGGATCTACTTTCACCCATTCTGCTGGACACTTACTGGCCCCTTTCAATCATGATATTCATTTCTGGGAACTTTTCTTGAATTGTTTCTTTGATGATTTCTCCCCCTCTCTTTTCTCTGGTCTCTTCCTTATTATCTGTATGCTGGACTTCCCCGACTGTTCCAATAATCTTCTTGTCTCTATTTTCCATCTTCCTGACTTCCTTCTCTTAGTTTTTGCTTAGCATTCTAAGAGATTTCCTCAACTTTGCCTTTTATCAAGATTTTTTTTGTATCCTTTTTTACCTTCAAAAATTTTACACAATGCGTCTGTTATCATGCTTTAACATCCAAGAGATTGTTCTGTTTTCTAAGTTTTTAACACCAGGTTTTTCTCATTCCTCTGGTGTCATAACCTCTTATCTCCTGGAAGATACTGAAGACGGAGTTTTGTAACTCTGCATAGTCTCCATTTTTTCTGGTTGTTTTGACTTTCTTCAAGTTAGAAGCTTTCCTTGCTACTTGGTGAGCCTTGACTGTTCATTCATACTTGAGAGGAAATCATTAAAAATCTAGCCAGATACTCAGAGACCACAGTGGGACCTTCAAGGTTCCCCGGCCAGCAGTGGTTCATAGCCCTGGCCACATGGCAATCACTTGGGTTGCTTTTTAACACAAATGACCCGACCTCATCCTCAGAAATTCTGATGTAATCATTTGAGGAGGAGGAGGGGCACTGACAAGCATTTAAACCTCGCCAGGTAATTCTAATAGTTTATCGCTTTAGAATGTTCCAGACAGGTCGTTTTGATAGGAGACTTCCCCTCCCTTGTCAACATCTGCATGTGTTTTCCTAGGGGTAGTCAGTTGTTCCAGAGAAGACTCTTCTAGCCTGCTGCTACTCTGCTGACAGGGTGGAAGAGTGGAAGTCTCAACCTTCAGTATACAAACCATTACGAGGGACAGTTGAATCCTGACTTTTATCCTGGAGTGCACCTGTGACAGACACTGGCAGACGTTGCTGGATCTACCCAATGGGTCTGAATTTCCTTGGAAGAATTCATCTGCATTCACCATAGTACAACCCTGTCGATCGTGTTAGGAGGATATGAGACCATATTAGGCACATAGAAGCATCAAATTATCATTAACAGGACTTGAAAATAAGTTTGTGAGCCAGAAAGCTAGGACCACAGTGCCAAAAAATTATAATTTTTCTTCAAACATAGAAAACCTCCAGGAGAGATCTCCAGCACCATGCCCAATAAGCCACACTCCAGGAGGTCTGAGCCGCGACTGCTGGCCACACACAACCAGCCCGGTTCTCTCTGGAACTCTCTGCTGTTATGATTTATTCATCATGTTCCAAGGTTCCTGACATGATCCTTATACAAGGCAAGATAAAAAGCCCTCACTGGAGTGGTCGCTTGGTACAGTGGTTAAACTGCCACCTGGAATACCCACATCCCGTATCAGGATTCCTGACTCCAAGTCCCGGCCCTGCTCCTGGTTCATTTTCCTGCTAATATGCACCCTAGGTGGGAGGAAGCGGTGACTTAAGTCCTTGGGTCCCTGCCACCCATGTGGGAGACCGGATTGAGTTCCAGGCTTCTGGCTTCAGGCTGGCCCTGAAGTTGTCCTGGCAGTTGTGGACATTGGAGGAGTGAACAAGCAGATGGAGAAATCTCTGTTTTTGTGATTTTCAAACAAATAAATAAAACTTTCAAATCACCATTACAATAATGTAGAGAACTGTATTAGAGTGAGACAAGGCCGGTGCCGCGGCTCACTTGGCTAATCCTCCGCCTGCGGCACCAGCGCTCCAGGTTCTAGTCCCAGTTGGGGCACCGGTTCTGTCCCCGTTGCTCCTCTTCCAGGCCAGCTCTCTGCTCTGGCCCAAGAAGGCAGTGGAGGATGGCCCAAGTGCTTGGGCCCTGCACCCCATGGGAGACCAGGAGGAAGTATCTGGCTCCTGGCTTCAGATCGGCGCAGCGCACCGGCCGTAGCAGCCATTTAGGAGGTGAACCAATGGAAGGAAGACCTTTCTCTCTGTCTCTCTCTTACTGTCTACTCTGTCAAAAAAAAAAAAAAAAAAAAAAGAGAGAGAGAGAGAGAGAGAGACAAGCCTCCCTCACGTGAAGTGAGCAGCAGAGGTGTAAGTCTCCAATACGTTTCCAAAGACTGTCAGCTCTTGTCTACACTTAAGGAGGCCTTTGGTTCTATCAGTCTCCTTGCTCTTGGTGACTGCAAGCTCACAGTGTTCTAGGAACAGTGTTATCAGTTGGGGCAGCATCCACGTTCTCTCTTAGTCACAGCCATGAGACGCTAGACTGGAAAGAGGAACCACGGGTCTGTGTGCTCCGTTTCTCTCTGGGTCCCTCCCTATCTTAGTTAGGTACGGGGGTTTCTTTAACAGTTTGCTGAGGGAGACATATATCTTTGGAATAAATCACTGGGCATCTGTGCTCATGTTTGAGGAGCCCTACTTTAATACTCTGAACCAGCCTGAGAGGTGAGTCCTCTCACAGTGTGGCGGAGCTACCGGGGAGGAGCAGAGCTGGGGCAGGAGGTGGAACCAGGACAGCTTCCCGGCTCCTCCTCCACTAGGGCATCATTAGCATGGCATCGTTGTCTTGTGAGAAGTGTGTTCTCAGAACACCTGACACACCCATGCCCAAATGTAAGCACAGAATCAAATCCACAAGCTAACTATTGTGAGGGGCACCTGCCGCTGTTCTGAGGGCGCCCTTCACAACCGAGGGCACTTATCTTCCTCTTGGAAGGGACCTGAAAAGGAGATTACGACTGACAAGGGAATCCAAAGTCTCTCATAGTAACCTCAAGCTCAAGTTTCCTTCTGCTTCTCCAATGGCCTAGGGGTCTTGGGCCTTGCCTGGAAAATGAATGCCTTCTACGTAAAACCACCAATCCCCAGAGTCTTCGCGCTTCCCCGTAGCTCCTTCGGAATCAGCCCCACGGGGTCATAAATGTGGACACGTGACTCTCTGCATTCCCACTGCGGGAAGACAATTCCTTCCTGCTCCCAGGAGCCGTTCACAAGTTTCAGCTCAGACCCAGAGGGTCGACTAGGGCTTGGAGGCATGTTCTAGTCAGCCAGTGCTCTCTGGGCTTGGTTTCCTGATGAAACCTGGGGCTCTACTTTTGGGTTAACTCCAAAATACTGTAAAGATTACAAAATAGTTTTGTCTTGATTAAAAAAAAAAAGCCTAGCTTCTAGGAAGAGCACCTAGGGTCCTGCAGGATCTTCCCCAGACCCCTAACCTCAGCCATTCAGGCAGATTAACCCAATTCATGAGGCAAATACTGACTGTACTAAATACAAGGCAATGTTCTAAATTGCTCAAAACTAAAGAAAAAACTAAAATCAGGGGCTGGCGTTGTGGCACAGTGGGTTAAGCCATCGCCTACGACACCAGCATCCCATACGAACTCTGGTTTCAGTCTAGACTTCTCCACTCCTGATCCAACTCCATGCTGCTGTGCCTGGTAAAGCCGTGGAAGACGGCCCACGTACATGGACCCCTGCCACCACATGGGAGGCTGAACAGAGCTC